TGTGAGAGAAGACACTCAGGATGGCTCAGGGATCCGGGGACCAGAGAGCAGTGGGGATCGCTGATCCAGAAGAGAGTTCTCCCAACATGATTGTCTACTGCAAAGTAAGACGCCCAAGGAATGACTGGGCATGTGCCTCTGTGTAACTGTTCTCTGGGAGGGCTGACTGACGGTGTAAGATAGGTGCTATCTGCCTAAAGTGCCTTGTGGATAAAGGAGGATTGTCTTCTCATTGTTTAATTCTGAAGTTCAAGGAAGTAAAGTTTTCCCAAACTTGATATGGGGCACTTGAAACATCTCATATCATTTAGTTTTGGGTCGATCCCTAGATTGCTAAAGCAATGTAGCTGAGCGTGTCTGTGCCCTCAGTGGCCTTTACCATGCAATGCAGATCTAACAGAAAGTTCTTTGAACTCACAGTATACACAAGGAGTCCAGATGCTGGTGAGAGATGCCAAGGTGTGGCCACTCAGTGCTTAAAGTCGGTGGGAAGCATAAGAGACCCATAACACCTGGAATAGAATATATTAATTTGCAAAAAAGGTACATGGAGAGTGTTTTCTCACCAAAGGAGGAAGCTAATTTTCCCAGCTTCGGGTCAAGGAGTCCTTGTGGGGAAGTCGTTTCGAAGGACTCAGCTTTAAAGGATGTGCAGGGTTGTCACATGAGAAAAGCAGAGAGGAAAGACCCAGCAGATGATGAGATCCCAGCAAAGGCACAAAGCTGGAAACGAAACAGCTGCTGGATCTGATCATGAATGGCGAGGAGCAAAGAGAGAGAAGATTGGGGCTGGAGATAGATGCAGCCAGATTGTAGAGTATTGGATTATGGGTAGTTTAATCATGAAAACATTGTGTACTGAGAGTTGTGAAATCAATCTGTTTGAGATTCAGGGTTTTTCCGCAGTGAGCAAAAAAGGTACCAACGTGGGGGCTGCAGATATCCTGAGAGTATTTCTGCATCTGTAAAAGGGCTGAGGAGGATGCTCTTCTGGTCAGTGAAATACCCTTCAGGACAGAGAAGGAGTAAAGTCTGAATTATAAATCACTTGAAAACTGAGCAAATGTGGGATGAAGAGGTGTGTGGAAGCTCAGAGATGATTAGGTTATGAACAACCTTGGATACTGGAAAAATGTTGCTATTGTCAATTCTAATGGGGCCATTTAAAAGAGGAATACACTTTAAAGGGAGGAGATATGGCCCATAAGCTTATTTTTATGTGTATTAAATTTAAGGTACCAATTACTTTGCCTGTTTATGAAAACTTCAGCTAACCAGTATTATATATTAATAAGGCGATGAGTTGAATGCTTATTCATTTCACTGAATACTTGAGTTGTCTGCTGGGATCTGTGCCTGCTGTCACTCTGTATTTGGTCTGTGTTAATCAGCAGGAGTGTTGAGCTAGACATTCCTGGGTGATCGATAAGGTGACTTTTGTGTATGTGTGAAAATAGAACTCTTATATTACTCTTTCTTTGGGTTAAAATCCTGTAATTCTTTGTTTCTCAAGAGAATGTTGGGGGAGCCTATCTCTAAGGAAGATGGCTATTAAATTATAGTAAATAATATAAGATTCATTAATGGAGCCAAGCAGTTTAATGAAACACACAGAATAGCATAGGGGTGATTGGTTGCTGTTACCTTCTCCACCCCAGGCAGGAGGATCCAGGCCAGGAGAGCAGGAACATGGCTTGGAGTTGGACTTGGGTTATAAGTCCATCCTACAGGCAAGAGGTTGTTGTAAAAATCCATTTCAACGAAGTGAAACATCTTTGTCTACCTTGGTCCATACTGTGGTCCATAATAAGTATTTATTTCTCTTTACTTTTTAGGTCTTATAGGGATAGGGACATTTGAGAAAGGATGAATTATAAGATATGCAAATGCTCACATTGTTAGTAAGTTGAACAAAGTCAATAGATGCCATGTGTTGCCTTTGGAGACAGAAGAAGACAATACAAGGATTGTTGAGGGAGTTATTATTTTAAAGAATTTGTTTATTTTTTATTTTATGTACGACTGTTTTGCTTGAATGTATGTATGCACACCCCATATGTGCTGCTACCCAAGGAGGACAGGAGAGGGCATCAGATTCTCTGGAGCTAGAGTTCCAGGTGGTTGTGAGCCATCACGTGGGTGCTGGGAATCAAACCCATGCCCTCTGGGAGGGCAGCCAGTGCTCTTAACCACTGAGCCATCTCTCCAGCCCCAATCCACAGATTATTAAAGGTCAACAAAGAATGCGAAATGATGCCACCCCAATGCCTTCCACTAAAAAGGTATTTTGAAGGTATAAAACTTTCTACAGGTTTTTAATAAGTTTATGATTTTTTTCCTCTGGTGTGGGAGCAGGCCTCTTTGTTTTGTTACTTAAAAACAAACAATATTTGTAGTTCTTTAGAGCAATGACAACTAGGAACATGCGTACACCTTTCTTGTGACTCCTTCATGGGAGGAGCATGTATGTGTTCACGTAGACACTGCGTTAAGGCTCTACGACAATGAACTGAATTTGTTTGGTCTATTAGGAAGGAAGAGTGCTTATTGTCCAGGGTGAGCCCCATTCTGGAACCATATTAAACTTACACTAACTTGACTTACTCAGACCCTGGCTGTACTTGATCCTTACCATAATCACACAGTGTTCTGTTTCCAAGGCTGTAGGCTACTGTTTGCTTACAACCAAGAACTTGGCAACTGGGGCATGTTGTCAGTAAAGGGTGAATCTAAGAGCTAAGGTCAAATCCCAGAATTTTCCACAGAACTCCTTTTGTGGGACCATTTTGTCTAGGTTGTAGCCATATATCTAGACCTTTTTATAGGTGTCTACAACAGAGATCTTGTTTTCTTTCTCTCTTTGGTTTTCCCTCTTGACATAGACATTCTTAGTGTGAGACTTTTGCTTACATGGTGTATGTTGATCCATATGCCAACAGAAAGACAGAGGCTCTGGGTAAACTTCTGAGTAATAGATGAGACAAGAGCATTCACAATATGATGTGACTTCCAGTTTTCTTATTTCTAATTGACACATAATAATTGTGCAAATGCATGGCAACACCATGTTATTTTTGAGTTCATGTAAACAGCTCAGCTGTTAGAATACCCTTTGCTTCAGGCATTTACTACTTCTTCTCAGGGAAACAGTCAAAACCTTCCCTTCTAGCTCTTGGAAACATTTAGGACATCACTGCTAACTTTGTTATTGCGACGCTCAGACACAGTTTAGGATGATCCTGACATATGAGCAAGCCTACACCTTTCAGAACACACTTCATTTTCTGTTCACATTTTTATGTCATTAACTGTGAGAAGTTGTACTTCCCCCAAGAATGATTTATTTATTATCTTGAACTGATGTTCTAATTTCGTTTTTCATCTTTCATATTCACATTTTGGATCAGAGGTGTGTATGAAAAATGTATTGGTCACATTAAAGATCTATTTAAAAGGAAACTTTAATCATTCATGAAGACACCCAGGGTTTCTTTATATCCCTGAACCTTTAGGGTTCTGGGTCACTGAACTGCCCGATGTAGTGATGATCCTGGAAACTGTCTATCAAATTGTACAGGGGTTCTTTGTAAGAAACACCAGCCTTCAAAGAATGTCCTTACCCCTGTATTCCTTACTTCAGTAAGTCTGGGATGGGTGCTTGGAATAGGAGTTTTAAAATGATCTCAGGAGAATTTGGTTCTCAACTAAACTGGAAAAGTACTTATTTATTGTTTGTTTTCCATTACCCTTCCACCCCATCATTATGTAGGTATATTATGTGTTGCAAAATCATGGGAAAATTGACATTTAAATTTGGTTTAAAATTTCTTCATATATACATATATATATATATATATATATATATATATATATATATAATGTTTAGTGTGTGTGTGTGCGTGCACACATGTGTGCCTTAGGCTTCTGTTGCTGTGATGATGTGACTGAAAGCAGCTTGGGGAGGGAAGGGTTTATTTGGCTTATACTCCCACAGCACTGTCCATCATTGAAGGAAGTCAGGCAGGATCTCAAACAGGACAGGGACCTGGAAGCAGGAGCTGATGAAGAGGCCATGGAGGAGTGCTGCTTACTGGATTGCTCCTTATAGCTTGCTCATCCTGCTTCTGTATGGAATCCATGACCACCAGCCCAGGGGTGGCCCTACCCATGAGGAGCTTGACCCTCTGACATCAATCACTAATTATGAAAATGTCCTAAGGGGCTTGCTTACAGCTTTTTTTGTGTGAAGGCATTTTCTCAATTGAGGTTCCCTCTTGTCATACGTCTCTAGCTTTTGTCAAGCTGACATTGAAACTAGGTAGTACAGTGTGTGTGTTGCACACCTGAGTGCACGTGTGAAAGTACATGCGTGTATGCCATGGCATATAGTGGAAGCCAGAAGACAATTTGTGGGACTTGGCTCTCTCTTTCCACAATGTAACTTCCAGGGATCTAACTCAGGCCTTCAGCATTGGTGGCAAGTGTCCCTATCTAAGGGACATCTAAGCCATCTTTCTGGCTCTTAAATTGGCTTTTTAAATTTCAGAAGTATTTGTGGATCCCTCAAGATGTAGAAGAACCAACCACTTGCCATCTTGTTTGGCATTTAATGGCAGTGGCCTATAAATTTAGTAGTTCTCTATGGCTTAAGCAGCACCCCTCCATGGTCTCTGCATCAGTTCCTGCATCCAGGTTCCTGCCCTGCTTGAGTTCCTGTCTTTACTTCCTTCAAAGATGGACTAAGATGTAGAAGGGTAAGCCAAATAAACCCTTTCCTCCCCAACTTGCTTTCGGCCATGGTGTTTCATCACAGTAATAGAAACCCTAACTAGGACAGTAGTCAGCATCCTTAGGTGGAAATAACAACAACAACAACAACAACAACAACAACAACAACAACAACCCCCCCAAAAAACAAACAACAACAACAACAACAACAAAAAACAAAGGTCCACGAGGCTGCAAAACTTGCTTGTGGTTCCCAGACAATTTCCCAGTGAAGTCATGAGTGTGTTCATGACCCCAGTGGTCCAGTCAGTGTCCATCTTGGTACCCAGCAGTGCTACCATGCTCAAAGGCCCGTGTGAAGTCACCATGTTGCTGG